CAGATTCTAGGGTTGTTGACGCCGTATGTTGGTAATCTTAACTCAGTAATGGCATTCACAGAACTTAAAATATTATTGTCTGTATGTAATGAGTCAAGGGGTTTCACCGGGGGACATTCCATATCGATAAGTTTATTTGGAGAGTTCATGATATGAAAAAAACTAGTGTTTCAAGTAGAAATATAAACAATAAAACTATAATACACTCTAGGCTCACCAAATAATTGTGGTGGACCAGATAATATATTAATCCAAAAGGTAATGATAGTTATTTATAACAAATAGCAATATTTAAATATTTATATAAGTTAAATGTCATAAACACAATAGAAATAAAGGACGTTACTTATTTTACCAGGGAGTACGTGTTCCAAATTGATCTGGTGTTAAATATCCACAATTATAGATGATTAATAATTCCTGTGAGTGTGATGGGTTCCCCAATGATATGATTCGGTAATAAATATGGTATATTCCAATTATCGTCTGTAAAGATAAATGGTACTTGCTTTAGACTTCAGTTAACACAAATGCGAGTGAATTTAGAACGAGAGGTATGTGTGTAGTAGTGTATTTGGAACGATCACAGAAAGTGTCACGCTATGTTAGTATTACAACGGAAAAAGTGATCAAGGTAGTTTACTAAAACAACAGGTACAATGATTTAATAATAAATGTACACATAGTGAAAGACTGACAAAATGAATACAAATAATAATAAAAATTATTTACAAAATAAGTTTGACAGACCTATCTCCACAGGATGCTCCTGCTTAATTAATACTTTATTAAAAGAGAATGAGACTGAGTAGTCATACCTTAACTATTTCTTCATGAACATTGTCTGCTCTGCTTCTCGTCCTTTTCTTCTTTTCTTTTTTTCTTGCATCATTTTTGGCCCCCTTGAGATACGGAACGGGTGACCTCGTCCTGCACCATCATTAAAGCCTCAAATATTCCAAAGGGATATAAGATTGCGATTTCTAGAAGCCCCCAGCTTCACATGAATCTATTATCGGCCATCAGTTGCACGTAGCAACGCAACCTTCATGAAGCGCACCAACTGTGACACTGACTAAAACCATCTACATTCATATCTTATAAATTATCAACCCAGATGAGTAATTTACTACAGTTGGAAATTGTATCATTCGTAACAATTTGATCTTGCCTGTAAACTGGCATGCCTCATGTAACAAACTGTTATTTGAGAATAAATTATCAGTATTATTATATTGTTTTTAATTAGATCATCATTAGGCTTCATTCTGTTGTACATGAATAGCATCATGAGATTTATCCTCAAATTCGCACACATGAAATTCTGAACGGACATAGATAATTGTACCGCCTCCTATTCCATAACATCTATAGGGTCTAGAGAAAACGTGGTTATCTACATTCAAGGAGTATCGGATAAATGAATTGCATCAAGTTTCCGTAACAAGTACAATGGTTGGATTTATAATGAATAAAAGGGTTTTAAGATGAACAATTTTATTTGACAGAAAGCGGGCATTGAACGAAAGAATAAGAAACTCAAAGTAAGCATGGTGAAGCAGGTTAGCGTCTTAATCGCAATTGGTAGTTCCATGAATGCTCGTAGGATTGGCTTAGGTAAGAGTTTTGTTGCGAGGGGAAATCGATTCAAGTCTTATAGTAGGCGACTTTTATGCATCGTATATAAACTGGGTTAATTTAGAAGTAGGATCATTGATAACGTCATTCGATTGCAAACTGTTGGAAACCTCGATTGGATTAGCTTTATACCAACACATTAGAAATCCCTCAAGATGGCTTAAGAAGCTCCTCTTTTCTTTTGGATTTAGTCTTTACACATGGTGATGATGTCCGCCAAATGAATTTTCTCCCACGACTAGGTAGAAGTGACCATGAAATCAAATTATTCAAATTCATGGTTGAGACTGCCAGTCAAACAATTGCCGACGGCCCGTTCTAATATAGCGTCGGCTGAAAACTGGAAAATTGATTCAAAGGCTTCAGTACAAGAGGCATGGACTTATTTTTAAGCAGCTATACAGTGGGGTAACTCAACTATACTTGTCCTGGGCAGTCCCAAAAAAGAAGCTCGGCCATCAATGAAAAGGCCGGGATATTCGACATTTACAATGACAAAAGAAGAAATGTTGGAATGTTACTATCAGTCTTGGTACAGCAGGTACTATGAAACGCTACAGATCGGTAAGATAGAAGTGTATAATTAAAATTCGGGAAGCCCAAAGAAAATATGAAATGCAGTTGGCTCAATCTACACTTAAGCAGCCTAAGAGGATATTCTACTACATAAACTACAGAACAAGGATGCATCGTTGGACTCCCGACCTAGTTAAAGAAGGGAGTGAATTTAAAATGATAGAGACAACTCAGGAAAAAGCAGAGGCAATGGCTGACTATTTCGAGACAGTTTTCATTCAGGAACCTCATCTAGACAAAGAACCAGACACAAATACAGAGTCAACAAATCAGCTTCTCACAGTGGACTTCGATCATGATGATGTACTTAAGGCTCTTAGCACCTTAGACATGAAAAAGTCAACATGACCAGATGAACTACACTGCAAAATCTTGAGACATATTGCACAGTATATCGCGGCCCCACTGACCGTGATATTCACCGTGTCACTTTACTAAGGTGTGTTACCTATGGACTTGAAGGACGCACTCGTCACTCGCATACATGAAACAGGACCGAAACAACTTCCATCGAACTCTAGTCCTGTAAGCCTCACCAGTTTTGTAGTTAAAATATTGGAAAGAATAGTCAAAAAGACCGTAATGAGATTTGTGGAAACCGATAACCTGTTAGACAGCTAACAACATGGTTTTAGAAAGGGTTTATCATGTACAGAGAACCTTCTTATAGCAAGGGAATATTGGATAAAGGCTCTAGACAGTGGAAAATCAGTGGATGTTGCCTACATAGACTTCAGTAAGGCTTTTGACAAGTTGCCGGCAAGTTGACTGCTACTGAATTTAGGAAATCTTGGTATTGCCAGACCTCTTTTAAAATGGCTTAAGAATTTCCTGGTAGGTCGTAGACAGAAAGTAAGAATAAATTCCAAGTGCTCCACCTGGAGACCAGTACTTGGTGGAGTACCCCAAGTTTCCATCCTAGGTTCGTTACTTTTTATACTGCATGTAAAATATCTCTCAAGTATAGTACAGTCTCCGATGTTATTATACGCTGACTATGTAGAAATCTGGCGAATAATAACCTAAGACGCAGACGCATGTACACTTGAGGCAGACTTAAATTGTGATTAACTGGTCTAAAGAATGTCTGAAGCTTATCAACGCAACAGGGTGTGTATTCATACACTTTGGGGATACAAAGGTTAGTAGGTACAGCATAGGGGCAGCGCTAGTATCAGTGATCCGGTCTCATAAGGATCTTGGGGTGACAGTAAATTATGATTTCAAGACGACGGCCCGATGCCAGGAGGTCGCAGCCAAGGGGTTTAGAACCCTATGGGCTCTAAAACGGACATTCAGTGGATACTGGAGATAGCCCATGTGCACCATTGGTTTGGGATCCGGTTAAAGCGCCTGACATTCGCTTTTCGTCCTCTCACTTTCGTAGACAACACCCCCGCCACGTGAAGGCAGTGAGTAGGACTTCCCTGGCAGAGGCTATATATGCGTGGCCGTGTGAGAGCATTTCGAGAGGGAGAGCGGACTCTCCCCACTCTCGGTCGTACCAGAGCATTTTGGGGCTTGGATACGATTACCTTGATTTCTCTAAGGCTTTCGATAGGGTTAACCACATATGTCTTATTAACAAGCTCAAACGATTGGGTATCAAACCACCTTTAATTGAGTGGCTTAGTTCATATCTGACAAATCGACATTTTAAGGTCAGGGTAAACTTCAATTTATCACAGGCTAGGGAATGTCAGGTGGGGTCCCCCAGGGCTCAGTACTAGGACCTCTTCTCTTCCTGATTTATATGAATGATCTTCTCCAACAGGTAACGTCAGACATATTGCTCTTTGCCGATGACGTGAAACTTTGGAGAGAGATACGCAACCAAGACGATATACAGGCACTTCAGGAGGATCTGACTCGACTTCAAAGTTGGGCAGATGACAACGGACTTACCTTTAACACCTCAAAGTGTAAAGTAGTCCATCTGCGACACGTCGCAGATTACAGTTACAACTTAGAAAACTCCTCTCTAGTAGTATCACGAGTCGAAAAAGACTTGGGAGTTCTGGTGCCCTACGACTTAAAGTCTTACGCCAACTGTGACAGAAATGCCTTTCGAGTAAACCTTGCACTGGTAACATTGAAGCGCATTTCTGGTCAGTTTGACGGGAGAACTTTCTACATAATCTTCAATAGTCTCATTCGTTCCCATTTAGAGTACGGAAACATAGTATTCCCTCCTACACTCCAAAAGGATAAGGACACTCTTGAGAGTATCCAACGGCGAGCCATGAAATCAGTTCGGGGACTCAAATTCAAACCTTATGAAGAGCGCCTCCAATCATTTAACCTTTACCCACTATTAATGTATAGGCGTCTCAGAGGTGACCTTCTAATGGATTCCAGAATTCTTAACACTTCTGGACATCCTCTTAAACACCTACTTAAGCTTAGTCCCAACACTAACCTAAGGGGCAACACACAGAAATTGGAGATACAACACGCAGGCACAACTTCTACTCCTTAAGAGTTGTCAAATGCTGGAATTCGCTGTCGGCTGAGCTAGTCCAAGCAACTTCCTAGGAGTCCTTTGAGAGGCGACTTGATCTATGCTTAAGGACTAAGGATAGTATCTTACTATGATTTACCAATTTCTTTTTTCTCCTTTATCGTTAATATACCTAGGTTCTTGCCTGGAGGTATTGGTGATCCCCTACTACTAGACGTGGTAGTCTGTTAAGCGAAAGCTTCTTCTATTCCGTCCACAACCATTTGAACCATTTGATTAATTGGACGATTGAAGGCTGTGTACTATTTAAAGTTCATTTGCAGTTAATGCTCTCATGGATTTTTGCAACAATAAGGACTTTTACAATTGCTGTAGTTGTGCAACTTGCATTTTTTCTGAGTTGATAAAAATTGGTGAGTGTATCCTGAGCTCGTGGTGCACGGACGACGTCAAAGCTCTATTAATTACTTTGATGAATAATCCTTATTTGAATCAGTTACGAGATGATATTTGTAAACTTGTGGAGTTAAACAAATCAAAAGACATTCTTTACTCTAAAATGAGGTTATATGGTTGTATGGATTGGAATCTTGCTAGTGACAAACGGAAGCTTCTTTCACCTAAACAAATGGATGAAGTTGAGACCCGAGTTATAAACTACTTATCATGTTTACCTCTAGTTTATCAAAAGCTTTTTATTCTCTATGTTTTGGTTGGTAGCAGTCCGTCTATGACAAGTTCCATCAGCTCTGAACTTCATAAAAGTTCACTACAAAAAGGTAATTTTAAGACTCGAGAATATGAATCTTCGATACAACTGCCATGGAATATCAGCTCAAAAATTAAGTCATTTGTTAACAATCAAGAAAAAAAGGTTGCACGTAAGACAAAAGGTAGTTCTTCGACTGAACGTCAATGTACGGTAAGATTTTAGAAACTATCTGTAGTGTTATAGAAATATATATGGTTAAAATTCTGGAAACATAGCTCAAGTTATTTTGTAGCCCTCAATAGACACTGATGTACAGCGATCCGGAACTTTTGTTCTCGGCAGTGTGTGTGGTTACTCATTTGGTTGCGGTCAGTTGTTCAGTTAATATGAACAAACTAGTTCATACATAGTGAGGACGTGACTTTTTAAACAAATTGCTAAAATCAATCAAGTTAAGAAACTGAGCCTTTAAAATACTTGCAAGTAGTGGGAATGCAGACTGTGATATGAGAACTAAGGAATCCTCAGATTTTACCAACACGTACTTTAATGGTCACAGTTGGACCATGACTGAAGACAGAGAACACATTGCACATACTCAACGCATTGAATCGAATTTGAGGTTTTGTAGTTAGGTATACACAAAACTAGCACTAATTTACACAAGTTCTGAAGCACAGTTTATGGTCAATAAAGAACGTAATATTTTTTTTTAAACTGATTCTACTAAAGTATATGTAAATTCCTCTGACATCTTCAGAGATGATTGTTAGTAAGACCTCTAGATTCCTAATAAGTTTTTAAGCAAAAGCTTTGATAAAAGTTCGAAAGCTACTCGGAATCTATGACCAAGGATTTTGACCAACAATGGCTAGAATTCAGTCTTAGTGATGATGGTATTTACTTGTTCTCTTCACTATTCACTCTCACTCATTCTTTTAAATTTTCATTCCCGATGTTCATTTTTTTACTGCATTAAGTAATGTTAATAATACATTCCTCAAGACCCATCTTTCTAACTTCCTCTTTTGATCTTTCATTGTGGAATGCTTCAACTTAGGCCAGCGAACACTTTTTTCCAGCTTTCACCTTGTTTGTGGCTGTCTAACCATATGTTTGTAGTGCTACTGAATCTGGGTCTTTTATATATTAGGGGGGACTTTCAGAGCTTTTTTTAACAATGATAAAACTGCTAAATATTTAAGGATATATATTTCTTGCTACAACTTATTTTGAAGGTAATATTTAGCTTGTCTTCCTCTGTTATTACATTTCTCCGTTGCATAATATTGATTGCAGCGATTTAGTAGGCTTTTGAGTCATATTTATCCATAGAGGCTTTGGTAACCTGATTTCAATCTCTGAGAAGTTTGCATGTAATTCATAATTATTCTTTTGCTGACGTTTTCTGTTAATTTTTTACTTAGTGATGGGTTTGATGGGGATTTTCTAGCGAAATTTTGCACTTAACCAAATACTTGAAACACCTTCACTCGTTTGAATAGTATTTGTATGAAGATCACTTCATAAGTCATTGGATTATAGTTGTCGTATTCTTGAGTTTGATCAGCATGGGTTGACCTTGGTATACCTCAGTTTGAAGGTTTGTTGTTCTCGTCCTTGCAATCAACATACCCACAAATAGTAGATTATTATTTGCCTTCGTTTTGACTGTCGGATATCTTGTCATTAAGGATACTGTTAATTAAATTTAAAGTACTTTTTATCTAACACTTTCCGATGAAGGTCAATGTGTCGCTTGCATGACAAATCCAAATAGGGTAAAGTATCAGAAAATGTATGGTAACAGATTGCTATTAAGACATCTATGTAACACTAAGATTGTGACCTCTACGTGGTCTGTAAAGATTCGGACTACCGTTAATTAAATAATAATTATTCTACTAGATTGATCTTTAGAAAACTAACGGCCAAAGCAAATTAGGACTAAGCAGTTAATACCAATCGTTGTAATATGTTTGAACATAGCTCATAAAATGACTACTTTATTATTTCAAATCCTTCGCTTTTTGTGTCGTTGGTATACTCCTTTTTTATTAGAAATAAATGGGTTAATAGAAGTCAGTTTTAAACTTTGTTAGATCTTCAGTCATTTATAAATTATTAATTAACTTCACTAGTATATACTATTGCTATAAACGCCCCACAAACCTAATTTCATTTCTAAATGTTTCCAAGTTTTGAGAGTAGCTTCGTAGTTTTTCCAATTTGTATCTGTATTAGATCTCACAAAGACGTATCTTAGAAGTTCAGAATAAGAAATATACATTTGACACTCATTACATCCGTCTAAGATTTTGCTATCAAAACTTTCACTTCAGTTTATTTGTTTTCAAACTTCCTTGTTTTTAAAGATATATTTTAGAGATACTAGTTTTTAAGATCTCGACATACGAACTCCGTATTATGTATGTAGCTTTTCTTTTTTCCCATTAAAACTTTAACAGATGTAATACCCAACGCACTTTCATTCCACCCGTTTAGCCGACGAAATAATTAAAAAAAATTACAGAATCCGTAAAAAAATGTCCTGTATTGGTCGTGTTAGTGTACTCCAGAAACCATAATTTTTCATGTGGATATTCTTTAATATTTGAACGGATGGTTAAACAGAAACCGGGAGCTGAGTATATAGAAAATAACATGTGTAAAAACTGTGCTTAAAGCAGTCTTACTGATTGAAACGTGAGTAATCCTAATGTTTCAACCAGCAAGCTTATTTAGATTTATTCAGGGTAATATAGAAGATCAAAGGTATCATACCACCGCATTTCTATGACTAAAGATGAATTACCTTTATTCTTACCTGGTAGTAATCATTCTATAGTTATACGTCTAATGAGCGGCAGAGTCATGGGAAATAATCAAAGTGCTTATCAAAGACTTTGGGTAGGGGTATTGAGTTTGTCTTTTATCTGATAAGGTTTGATGAGATGGTGGGTGAAGAATGTTATCAAACTGTAGTTACTCGGAACATTGTTCTTTGTAGTATGGCTGATGCTGACTGTTAAACTTTGTTTATGGTGTCTGGAAATTATTCTCTTTAAACAGCCCTTTTCATTAATTCAATCACTTAAATGATACAATACAATGATACAAAAAGCTCTTCTTGTAAGATACTCTCCTTAAATCTGGTTTTAAACAAAATATTCGGAACAAACGTTCATGTACGAGTTTATGTGTTCACGTTTTATCTTTAGTTTATCGAAAGTAAATTTTGAGTCCAATACTATTACTAAATTAATCAATAATTTTCCAAAATCTCTGATAAACACTTGCTATGAAGTAGAAAAACTATACACCATTTGTGGTTTATAACATTTGTTTTAGATCATTTACATATACGCACTACATTAGTTTGTAATGAAGGAGCTAAGTTATGATGAACTGACTGTTATTGTTTTATTTAATTTTCAGTCATCACTGTTTCGAGTTGATCCACACTTTATGAGATACACATTAGTACCAGTGCCTGCATGCCCAATTCAGTTGAGAAGTAAAATTTCAGGTGAACCAAAATCTGGGTTATTTGGGGAACCACCGGTAGTTACAGGTAGCAATGATAATACATGTACTCAAGGGACAAAAATGCATGTAAGTTTTTACGGAAATTTTGATCTGTTTTGTGTTTATCGATCAATAATATGGTTCTTATTGTTATTATCAATCACGCAAAATTGAATATCGGATAAAACTATAGTAAGCTCGTATAATTTCTTATTACCTACCTCATGTAATTTAGACAATTAACCCACCATGTAAAAAGTATGTATGAGTTTGATTGAACACATGTCTGAACCTCAATTTTTATCTATCCTCCTAATGGTTGTTAAAATAGACACTCAATAACCTACGCACAAGTGATTAACACTCATAAAATATCTAAGGATATTTCGGCTTTTTACTCTCATTCGCTTCCATGTATGCTTGTCTTTTGCGTGCTTGCGGATTCTATTAATCATTAACAATACATTATTTCAACAACTGGTGTTCCAGCTTTTGAATATTCTCTGGTAAATTCATAGTAATACTGGGAGAACTGGCCTGCTAAAATACTCAGTTAACGGTATATCATTTATTGGGGTTAAATAAAAAGGAATAGGCCTCTACAAAAATTATAAATCATGCAGATGTTAAACCTGCATCTTCACTTCAAGAAGGCGTTAAACTCCCAGCAGTTATTTGTATGTGTCAAAGATTTTAATGAGATGAAAAAGTACTCACTATTAGTTCATCTAAAAAAAATGCTCACGTTTTACGTGTCATATTATAAATGAATTAGTCCTTTTATAAGCAATGCTTTAACCTAGATTTAAATGATTTTTTGGTATGTACCCCAGTAAAACTGTGGTTTGTTAGTTCATAGGTTTAATTTTCAAAATCTTGATCACAGGTTTGAAAACTGATGTGTTTATATTTCTTTTTACGAGCTAGAGTTTAAATGAATAAATCATCTACAAACTATTTTAACTATCCTAGTTTCAGTAGCAATTGTTACTGGTATGTATAAAGTAATTTCACCTGAAGTTTCATCAAGAGCTATTGCCTATCCCAAAACCTAGTTAATGAAGAGGATTGGGCGTAGAGTTAACAACCTTACATCGCAAAAAAAGAATTCCGTTACGAAATCGCTATATATGAAGTGACTGAACTTTACAAGGGTGATTTTAACCAGGTTTATTTTTATATTATTTATGTTACATATATTGTGCATTATAATGACAAAAATTATATTAGTAAACATAGACGAGGGTTTGATTCACAACACAAATATCATCTGAATGTTTACTAAAAATCAGGAAGAACTGTAACATCTCATTTCGAAACTTCACTATTTCAATCTATTAAACCCATACAAAATAGAACCCTTGAATTCTACGTTTGGAAATGAACAGATTTATGGTTTCATTCAATATATATGAGTAAAATTTTGTAATATGTACATATTCATTCAGAGAAATATCCAATCGTAGTAAGTGGTATTGGTGCTGAGTATTTTAAAGATAGACTATCTTAAAGTATAATTCGTCTACTCATTGCCTGTGTAAAAACAAAAGACTCCACATGAACAGATGTCTTTAGCTAGAGGACAAATAAGGTGAAATATGTTGAAAGATTTCAGAACTGAACGAAACGGCTATATGTTATTGTTAAATAATTTGATATTGTGTTAGAATTTATATTGTTTAATGATAAAGATATATAAAATGAAATGTCTAGTCTAGTCAACTTGTCCTTTTAAAGTTGAATTAAAAACATATTTTTCAGCTTATAAATAGTAATTGACTTTCTACAATATACTTTTATTTGACCTTGAGTAAAGTACTTAAAAATTGTACAAGGATTGTAACTTTCATTAAAATTGAACAGAGAATTAGATCCCTCTTTTTTTTCACTAAAACAAAATCATTAAAATTTATTCTTATTAGGGAACTATTGAAAATGTGTTCCAAATAGAGAAGTTTTATTTGAACTTTGGTCATCAATGTCAAGGAGTATAAAAATTGATTTCATAGTTTTATCTAACATCATATATGGTATATTCTATATAGTCGAATAATTTTATTTAGGATCCATTCTGAATTCACAAATCAATGAAATTTAATTAATGATAAAGACTACTGTATAGTATTAGCCTTTTCCAGATGACCAATTCATGATTAATTATTGCGTTAATATTGCTTATCAAGTTTAGTTTCTCTACTCTTATAGTGTAATTTGAAGACTTATGGTACGTATATCGTAGACTAGTGGGTAGATCATATCATAGACTCTTTGATATTTGTACATCGATAGTCATTCTAATGTATTTGATGCATGTCTTTGTTCCATGCACATAAATTACTGTGTAACAGGTAATTTTATTTCTTTTATTTTTTTTTACCAAATAATCATGTACACTGAAAGATAATATTAAAAGCATTGAAATTAGGATGTTCATTGAAAACGTACTGTACAATATATATATAGATCTTCCTAAAGAACTGCCGTAATAAAATATTCATATAAATTAGATTTCAAAAGTAATTAGATTTTTCAGTTTTCTTTCCAATACCTCTTTATTTCATTTTATTTATTGCTATATTTTCACTTGACTACAATAAATTAAACTGAATTGATTCAAGTTGAAGATTTAGACTAGTGAATTCAAACTGAATGGTTTGCGAGTTTAAAAAATATTACAACCAAAACTGAAGGTAATCAATTCAATCCATGAGTGTTCACTATTAAGAAGTTCTATTTTGAGATGAAAAATAATTATCCAATGCTTCCTAACTTACAGTAATTCTGTAGTTTGTATCGATCTATAACGAAAACAAACTTCGAACTCAGTCAAGGTGAACTAACCTACAAGTTCCTCTTTCATAAATACTCAATCAGTCCTTTGTTTAAATCAATAATTCAATAAATGATTACATTTGTTATTAGAGAATTTTTCTGTTTTTATAAAACCGTAGTTTGATTCATCTGATGATTGGAATGATTTAATACGAAAATCATGGGATTCAATATCGTATGAAATAAAACAAGCATATAATAAGATAAAAATACGATATGCTTTGATGTTTGAAAGAAATATCTACTGTGGACCATTTAGCATTTATGTATTATTAGAAAGGTAAGGACTTTATTTAGGTAATATTCAGTATTGATAAAGTAAAGATGTAGCATTTTGTATTTTTTTGTTGTTGAGGAATTTCACCGTTTTGTTAAAAATGTGACTTAGATTCCATGTTATAAATAGGTGTTGTCAGTTTCGAGACATTTCAATTACTAACAACTGAGAAATTTACTGAAGAAGTCAAGCCAAAGCACATTTTTCCGATTGATCTACTTATTAGTTTATTGAAAATTATTGTGTTCTGTTCCATTGAAATCAGAAACAACAAATTCTATCTACTATATAAAGGATATATTTAAGAAAATATTAGTAATCCTTAATAGTAAGGTGTAAATTAAAACCTTTTTGTCTCCATTCAAGCTCATAAATAACGTGTTAGACTATTCAGTATTGTTGCATGAATAAAAATGAATAGTATTGGGTTGAATGTAAAACTCTTGAGGTTCTTTTAAATGAGGAAATTATAGTGGCTCACGAATTTAGTGGTTCGAAATCTGACTCCATTTTGGACGAACATATGAATATACAATGAATACGGATCTTCCGTTTACTTCCTTATGTTAGACTTAGGCTAACCCCGTTTGAGTGGCGGCGGCAGTAAGGAGACAATTACATATTAAGTTGGATCGGTTTATTTCATTTAACTGTTTAAGCGGACATGCATTCAAATGGGAAGTAGGAAAACAAAGAGAAGCGGAAAAGGCAAGTGTGCCGATTCCCTTCGATAAAGCGTGACTCACTATTTATAGTCAGATAAAAATCAGCTAAAGAAATAATGAACTGGGTAAACGATACACATACGCTCAAGTGAAAACAGTCAAATTATAAGCGAACAACTGACATGTTCAAAATGTAACCTAAAATGAATAACTGGTCTCTCCGAATGGTAGAATAGTCCATGTAGGCGTTGCATGGTAGCAGACCCCATACAACGAACTCAATTGTAAGAATGAACTTTCATTTCGTTTTATGATCAAAATCATAACATTTGAATTGCAAAACTTTGCAAGACTTTATATTTCTGGCAAACATTTGACTCCTTTATAATCAGACAATATTTACGCCAATGTAATGTATATCCTACTTGACTTCGCATGTATTCCATCAATTTAACACATTTAGAACAACGGTATATTAAAAGTCTAACACCAATTATATTTAAGGTACATACATTTTAGACATGGTAGTATATTGAATGGCAGATAACCAAATTAAAGATCCAGAGACTATATACGTCACTGAAGTTCACTAATACACCCACTCACAATAGTAAGGTAACTTAGTTTTTTATAAACCCTTTAAAAAATACACAAAGTGAATAAACACATACATACTATCATAAAACCATAATCAGGGTTACATAATTAATTGACAAAGGCAATTAAATAAGTGACTGAATAAATCGGAAGGTTAGAATTGTGAAAGGATTTTGACGGTGAGACTATAATTTATGAACGAACTTTGAACGAACCAATCAGAAAACAGTAAGTATAAAGTAAACATATATTAAACAAAACCAAAGAAATGAAGTAGATACACTACTTATACGTGCTTCAAGAACTTGTCAAGGTTAGAAAGAGTTTTAGAGGCTCTAAAATCGTAATGCATCTAGTAGAGGAACTCATCCATATGGCTACAGAATAGTTGGCCTCTGGAGCCATGATAAGATTGCAAAAACTCTTTCAGCCTCGACCACATAGCTTCAATATTGTTTGCGTACACTCTGGTTGTTGAGTAAAAAAAATGCCACTTGTGGATAACGACACGATACACATAACCAAGTCTATGTAGGAGTCTGTACTCTCGCCAATCATCCGTATATATTGTAGTACCTGGCTGCAGCCAGTGTTACTGGTGCTTTTATTATCCAGTTCGCAATAATTGCCATAATTTGTCTTAGTCAGGAATTATATATGAGATTTTCATCACGAACTGACATCAGCTATAATGCCAGCAATCTATTTAGTTAAATGGATGAAAGGCTTTGACACCAAAATCCGAGATTTGTTATCTTATACCTGATTAATTCGTCCACAAATTATAGTTTCGCCGTTTTATTTGTTACAGCCGCCCAATTATCACATTTTGTACAAAATTTCCCGTGAACCCATCATACGTTAGCATTAAACACTAAAGTTGGCGCCATGACCTTGAAAGCTCTCAAACGTTTCTGATTGGCTCGTCCATAAATTAGAATCTCACCATTTTGACCATAAAAATGATGAATAAAGTTAGAAAACTAAGTAATTGTAACGTTTAACTTTTCTCAACAGATTTACATTGTAGAAAAAGAAACTACTATTTGATATTATAGAAAGTGTGATTTGATTATCTATGTCTGTTTATTAGATTTATGTATATACTCTATAATATCCTTTTAGAAATAAAATGGGACATTATATTCATTGAAATATTTTATTAAAACAACTTACTTTTATTACAATTCATTCAAACATTTAATTATTATAGGCAACCAAATCAACCATTATGCAAACGACGTGTAATACATGTAGATAATAGAAGTCATTGGTTAGCTCATTGTGAAGGACGATCTCAACAACGTACAATTAAATTTATAGATATTACTATGAAGTCATTTTGTGAAAAATCCTCATCTAATTGTATTCATAAAAAAAATTGTAATATTAATCAATCGGATAGTATTGCTGAATTTATGTAAGTAACTAGTAATTATTAATTAGAAATAAAAGCGAGCATAGAGAATGTCTAACTATGAATAAAACATCTCTGTATATACGTTTACAATTCAGAGATGATGCATTGAGTGAAATGCCAAGACTGAAGTTAAGCAGATCGATTATTATTATTTCCTTTACCATAATTATAATAATAATTATAATTATTGTAGTAAGCAATGATAGATAGTGGATAGCAGTGGAATTCAAGACACGCGTTTCGTCCTATTTGTGGATATACTTGCATCCCAGAGTTGATGTTCCCTCTGAGATTGGAACCCAGTATCATTCACTTTAAAAGCCATCTCGTTATCCACTCAGCTACTGAGTCTATCACTACTTACTACAAAAAGCTTGTGAATTAAGGCAATATCGAGGCATACACACAGTATGCACATATATCAACAAAAGACTAATCAATTGCAGTCTTAAACCTCAATGGAAAGATACAATCCAAACAATCCCAAGTGAATTACAATTATTATTACTGTTACACTTGATAATATTTTTGAGGAATTTATTCAGCATCCATTCCTATCTACTCTATCTGACCTAATTCATATTATTCTACATATTACGTAATTTCTGATATGTATTGCATTATTCTCCTTCTCTCTCCCTCTCTCACCCCATGTTGACCATATTTATTCTGATCATTGTTTATCTCACAATTTCATTTCACTTATAAACTGATTCAAATCAACAACTTCAGATTCGTCAGCTCCCCCCCCCCAACATGAACGATTTGATTTGATTTGATTTGATATAATAAACAACAATCCTTGATTCACATATTCACAATTTAGAATAATGTACTCTGCCTTAAATCTGGTTAATTTTATGAATTATTCATTTAGATATGAGATAATAATTGTAGAGTACTTGATGAAGAATTCATTGAAATAAATATTCTTCATTCCTATCATTGTGTTTTACATATAATGAGAATTTTTCAGCGATTAAAATTAAAAATCAATAAAATTTTCTCTTTATTGGTTTTTCTTCTTTTAAACTATATAAACAATTTTATATTTTTTATTTGAATTGATTATATAGGGCACATTTAAATCGTGTATGGTTAATTGGACATGCTGGAAGTGTGAAAACATTATGGTTAGATATTAAACTTCAAATTTTATTATCAGGTAGTTATGATACAAGTATTCGTTTATGGAATCTATCTGATAGTAATAATAATAATAATAATCAACATTGTTTAAATCAACAAAGCAATCTAATAAATCCTATAAGTTTTAGAAATAGTCGATCAAAATGTATTAGAATATATCATGGTCATACAGATACTATACTTTGTATTTGGTTAGATCAAACTAAATTATGGTCAAAATATAATAGAACATCTGAAAAACGATCATATTCATCTTATCATTCAAATAATAGACGTAATAATAATAATAATAATAATCTAAGTGATGATGTTAAAAAAGAAGGATTTCAAGGTACATATCAATTTGCAAGTGGTTCCGTTGATCGTACATGTTGTAGTAAGTTGAATTCATTTATATAAAACTAATAGATTTTTTGAAGAATAACATTATTTTATATATATCATATATATTTACTTACTTACCCCTGTTACTCCTCATGGAGGAGCATAAGCCGCTCATCAGCATTCTACATCCAACTCTGTCCTGGGCAATCCTTTCCAGCGCTTTCCGCTTGTTATTCATCCTTTTAATATCTGCTTCTATTTCCTGATGTAATGTATTCTTTCGCCTTCCACTTTTCCGATTCCCTTTAGGATTACAAGTTAGCGCTTACCTCATGATGCAGTTTGGTGATTTGTGTAATGTATATTCTATCCATTTCTGTCGTCTTTTCCTAATTTCTTCTTCAGCTGGAAGCTAGTTTGTTCTCTCCCATAGAAGGCTGTTGCTGATGGTATCTGACCAATGGATGTTGCGTATCTTATGTAGACAACTATTTAAAAATACTTATACCATTTTGATGATGGTTATAGTGGTTCGTTATGTTTCAGCTCTGTATAGTAGAACTGTCTTGACTTTTGTATTGAAGATCCTGATTTTGATATTGATTGGCAGTTGTTTTGAGTTCTATATGTTCTTCAATTGAAGGAATGCCGCCCTTGCTTTGTCAATCCTTTCCTATATGTCTGTATCTGATCCTTCTTGTCCATCAATGATGGTTCCCAGGTATGTGAAGGATTCCATATCTTCCAGAGTTGGAAGGGTTGGTGTTCTCCGTGTTGTATTTGAGGATCTTGCTTTTTCCTTTGTGTAAGTTGAGGCCTACTGATGCAGAGACTGCTGCCACACTAGTTGTCTTCATCTGTATTTGTTCGTATGTATATATGCTTATTCTTTCACAAGAGTTCACAAGTATAGAAATAAATTTTAAAAAATAATGGATTTCGGACATGTATTTTTTAAAGTCAGATTATTTAACTAAATAAGTGCTTTTAAAAGTTGCTTCTTGATAACGAATTGTTCGAGAATAGAACTATTCGTCGTTTTACATTCATCATTGAACAAATATACAAGATAATGCTTTGCAGAGTAGAAAGTTTTTCTTAGTAATTTCATAAATGGGTTTTTGAATATTTGCTATGATACCACCTACGAACTCAGAGTTCATGAACAAGGTCTTCTTACATTATTGTAATTGCAATTTACACTTGTTGTTTGAGCTTCAGGTTTCTGTCAGTGTGCAAGATAGGGTATAAATTTTCAGTGATTAATCGATGTGATTGTCCAAAAATGAATGAATAAATGGGAAACGATTAGGAAGTTATTACCAAGTGTTCGAGTATCAGATTGATTACAAAAGTAAGTTTGAATTGATAGATTAATATAATTAAGTTTCGTCTAAGTGGCCATAACATAGAGACATGTAAAACTTGATGCAAGTGATGTGATAAAGATGAACAGGCGCCTATTAGTTGAACATCAAAAACCAATTTACAACCATATCTCAAAACACTGAGTTTTGAATAGATTTAGGTTTTTTTTTATGTTGAATAATAGTCCTGAGATAAATATCAACTCTGCGGTGCAGATACATCCAACTGACAAGTTTAAAATAGGACAAAACATGCGTCCTGGATTTCACTGTTAACCATCATCCAACTCTACTTATAATTAACAATGATGATTTCATCTAACAATTGATAGGATAAAATACTTTTTATGTTTACTCTTCTAGTTCATTATCTTTTAAAGGTCAAAGGTGATTCAGTTCAGTTAAATTAATTTACAGGTATTTAGATTTCTTCAAAGTGGCAAAGAATCATATTGTTATCTCGTATAGTTATCTTCCAGGATAAAATATTATGCCTTTATTTAGTATCATTTTAACAATAGTCGAAATGTCAATGGTTGAGATTATGAGTGAATTGAAGCTAGACCACCATGGGAAACCTGGAAGCACTGAACGGCCGTTTCGTCTTATTGTAGGACTCCTCAGCAGTGCGCATCCAAAACTTCGCCTGGCGAGATTCGAACCCAGGATCTATAATGATAATCAATAATCCAAATGATCGATTTGATATACCACTTAGTAGATTTTTGTTAAATTAAATTATCTTTTTTATGCTTGTGAAATATTTTATTTTTAAGTTTGGAGATTAGATGAACAAAAACCATTGTGGACTATGAAACATTCAACTCCAATTACATCAGTAGGCTTAAGAGGATACATTTGTACAACTGGTGAACATAGTGGACGGATAAATGTATGGAGAATCGGCAATAAAAAGCCCGTTTTAATAAAGGTTAATATTACATAAAATGATGAATACTTACAATCATATTCATAAAACTAGTTAGTTATTAGTTTTTAAAAAGATTTTTATCGTTCTGCACTGAATATATTGACTAAATATAACTGATTACTACACAAACTGTAACAATAACGATATTTTTTGTTGTTGAAACTATAATGATGGACTAAAAAAATGAATACATTATAAGCAAAGATAGACAGTGGCTAGCAGTAGAATCCAGGACGCACGTTTTGTCCCATTTGGGATTCGTCAGTTGAATGTACCTGCAAGTAGCTGTTGGAACTCAGTAGTGGCATTTGAAGCGAACAGCACTGTGTTCTAGTCCCAGAGTGAACATCATCTCAGAGATTCAGGTACATCCGGCTGACGAGTCCCAAATAGGACGGAACGTGCATGAAGCTAGATTTCACTGCTATCCACTATTCATCTTTGTTTATTATGCTTGTGAATTATGGTAACATCGAGGCAATCTGCACAGTAAGCACATATGCCAATAAGAGGCTGATCAATTGCAGTGCTAAACATCAATAGGAAGATTCAAGTTAATAATACCAAGTGAATTTAATGTATACATTACTTTGGTTTTATTTATTATCTTTATACCAGAGTACCGTCTAGTTTTAAATGGTCCCTCAGATAATTAACTCAATAAATAAACAAATAAATAATAATTTAGTTAAATAATTATACTTAGGGTTGTAAGTAAAGTTTTATACTGTATTTAATCGGTACAAAAATAATCACTGATAGAGCGGATGATTTAAAATATTTTTCTCTTTCAAGTATACTTTGATATTATGCTAACTCATTAATTAGACTAATCTCGTTATAAAAGAACTAGGTTTCATGACCCAAAATAGAGAACCAGATTAACACTAGATAATACCTTATTCAATACAATTACAAGCAGTCACAAACAGTAAAGTCGGAGTAGAAATCAAGGAGAGGGATGGAAATCATATATTTAATAGTCAGTAGGCTAAGTGCCTGCTTATCCACACTCAACGATCAATCATACTTTACTTTCACTATCAAACAATTACACTGATTTAAATGAGTCAAGTCTTCGTTTTACATGAAGAGATAAATCTAACAAAAAAAAACAAAGTAATGAGTCATGGAGATTACTAAGTTATTGATTGAGATCATGAACCGCTTGATGTTAGACCATCATTGCAAACCTGGAAGCACTGGACGCCGTTTCGTTCTATTGTGGGACTCATCAGCAGTGTGCACTCATGACTCCGCACACGGAACTCGGACCCGCGACCACCGGTTTCATGTGCGAACACTTAACCTCCAGACCACTGAGCTGTGGTCCAGTTTGAGCCATGACCAGTGGAGTCCAATCCGTATTGAATGTGAAACAATCGTCCACCTCAGACAATGGATGGAAGGTTGTGCAAGATCATGGACCGATTGAAATTAGTCATTAATACCGTTGGTTATTGGCTCAGTGGTCTGGTGGTTAAGCGTTCGCGCGCGAAACGTAAGGTCTTGAGTTCGAGTCTTGTGTCTGGGATCGTCCATGCGCACTACCGAGTAGTCCCATACTAGGACGAGACGGTCATCCAGTGCTTCCGGGTCTTCAATAATGGTGTAGCTTATATCGAATCGCAAATTCAACTTTGAAAACATTAGAATAATATTATACGTTGATCTACATGTATTATACTGAAAGAATAACGTGTTAAGAACTTGAATAATTTTTAGAAAAGATAATTAAAAACCTTTTTTAATGATACACAGTTGAATTCTGTTTTATTAACATCATTATTATAACAGGCATTAACTGGTCATACTGATGTTATTACAGCATTACGGTTTGACAATTATCATTTAGTCACATCGTCCAAGGATAAATCTGTAAAAATTTGGTCTATAATTGGAGAATTCTCCGACTGTATAGGTACATTAGTGCATACTGGGTGAGTGGATTGTAACAATTACGGTGCTTTTTATTTAAGTCTTCTAAATTTTCACTGTGATCAAATCAAGATTTTTTCTTTATATTGAACCTGAAAGTAATGAATGCCAGTTTCGTCCTAGTTTGGGACTCCTCATCAGAGCTCATTCATGACTCCACAGGCGGGAATGAAACCCTGTGTTAATCTCTGTCGATAAGAGTGAATTAACCAATAATAATTGAGCTAAACACCCACCACCTAAGGCCCATTTGATCCCAAACCAATCATTAATATGACTCTTTTAATTTAACTATCAATTATGAAGTTGCACCAGTTATGTAAGAATGACTAACCCTTGTTATTACTTCATTGTGTTGTATCCCTGATGCTATTTGGCATGCGCACTTTTATTGTTCTCTTTGTGACTGACTAATACTTTGAGTTTCTGTACTAATTGTATTAAATTAGATTTTAAAAACAGATTATATTTGTTGGGTATATACATAGCTATTTGTTTTGACTACAGCCCTGCTAAGACTCTGTGTGCGACAGTATAGGTACTTGTTCAAGAAATTCATTTGTAGGTAATTAATTCCTACACCCATGACTTTCGGTCTTGCTCACGAAAGCTTAACCTCTAGATTAATAGGTTTAATTTATGAAGAAATTCAGTTGTATAACAAAATGTACTCTATGTAGCAAGAACTATAACTTATAACTTTGAACAATTTGGAAGTAATAAATGTGTGCTAATTAAAAGTTAGTAGCTAGTAAGGTGTAGATTCATTACACAAAAAATTGGTGACAAATGCTAACTTAGTTCTACAGTGTATTAGTAGATGTCATTATGAAATAGGATCAGGTTGAAAATTGTCTTAAGTCATGGAGAACTAGACAATTGATTCATCCAGCATTAGAAATTCGATAGAAACCAAAACATTCAATTTTTAAAGGTTTGTTTTAGATGAACTCAGTTGATTTTTAAGTGATACACAATATATAAGTTTCGTGTTGATGAACCTTTTCAATAAAGTCTGCATTTGAAATCTAAAGGAAAATCATATTGTTACTGTATGGTTTGAATTTACGTTGTCTATTACCATAGTCTAAGTTGTCAGTACTGATTTACCTAGAAATATGTGTTAAATGAAATATTTCAACGACAGTCTGCTAATCAATGGCTGATTAGCAAGAAATCTTTAATTTCAATAGTTATGATCATGAGTCAAATGAGGCTAGACCAGCATGGAAAACCTAGAAGCACTGAACAGCCATTTCATCTTTAATTATTCAATACGAAATTCACAGTTACATAGTTTGCTAACTACAATATATATCAGATGGGTTTTGTGGATATTAAGGTAATTTCAGTGGTTAAGGTCATGAGTCAGTTGAACCTAGACCACCATGGAAAACCTGGAAGCATTGGACGGCCGTTTCGTCCTATCGTGGGACTCCTCAGCAGTGCGCATCCACGACCTCGCCCTCTGAGAGATCCGAACCGAGGACCTACTGGTTTCACGCGCGAGCACTTAACCACTAGACCACTGAACCAGCATCCGACGGTGTTAATGTCTAACTTCAACTAATCCACGAAATTGAGCGACACATCCACCATTGTCATCAGTGAGTTACTATATCATGACAGACCCAGTTGAACTGCACTGGTCACTGCTTCTCACTAGAACTCTAGGATATACCACTTGACGCCAGTCACTGACTCATGATCTTAACCATTGAAATTACGATATATATATATATATATATATATATATATATATATATATATATATATATTGATAAAAGAAATTCAGAGAATAAGGAAAACTAAAGTATACAGTCAATTTATGTATTCTGAAATAATTTGTTCATTTATACTCTAAGTGAATATCAATAATTTTGTTCTCTTATTTAGTGAAGTGTTATGTGTTGAATTGATTGATTTGAGAATTATAACTGGTTGTTCAGATGGTCGTATACGTGTATGGAATTTATTAACTCAACACTGTCAAAGAATATTACCGGGAAATTATCGTCATGATCCAATTATAAGTATTATGCCATTGGAAAATCGGTATATTTTTTTAGTTTATGTTAATGTTCATTGAATCTTTTATATACATTGAAAGTCTTTGCATTTTTTATAAAACTGTTACGATAAAAAATAATACTAGTTCAATAAACATCCTATTGTGGGACTCCTCGACAGGACGAAACGGCCGTCCAATGCTTCTAGGTTTTCTATGGTGCTCTAGCTTCAATTGACTCATGATCTCAACTATTGAAATTATTATAATATCCACAAAAAATCCCTTCTGAAAAGCAAGTCAAACTGGGATTATTTTTATTAAGTTTATATACTTTAGTTTCCCACATAGATATTATGACAAGGATATTTAGAGCTTAAGAGTTAATATTGTCATAATCCTTGATAGTAATATTATAGGGACTAACTAAAGACTTAGAATTCTATGTAGACTATAATTCTGCTTTTTTACTAATAATAGAAATATATTCAATCTGGTAGTTCATCATATTCGGCGGCCTGCTTGAATATCTGGGCCACCTGTTTTTGCCATCCGGATATTTCAACAAGTTATCTGTTTTCTTGTTTGTTTTAACACATCATTATGCCTATTAGTCTCATAACCTATTCAGGTGAGTTTGTGAAAAGTTTGCGATATTTTGCTGTACATGTTACAAAAGAGCTCAGTCAGAGACATCATGGTTACTGGCAATATGCATCGAAAAGGATATACATTTATCAGATGTTGATTCTTGAACCGCTAACATCTAACTGGCGACCACTCAATATTTATCGCAAGGAACTGATCAAGAAATAAGAAAGTGAAACTTGTTGAAATACTTTATGCTGAGAATTCTATATTGTACCAAAAATATAATATTGAATAAAGCCACCAATAATAATAAATCAGTAGTTCATTGGAACTTTTATGAAAATTACCATAGTATGGCATTAATCTATATTGACGAATTCTAAAATAGTACAGATTAAGTAAAGTATCAAAAAATGAAATGGAGTATGCTTAGGTTGTAGAGTAATTGAAAATACACTGATGTGTGATATGGTGAGTAAACCACCAGTAGCCTAATGAGAAAGTCAATCGATGGCAGTCACAAGTGACCTAAATGTCAAGTACATTTCATTGGGGTCAATTTTCTAAGGATAGAGTAGTTTATCTGTGAATGAGTATTTGTGCGTTTTATTCGGTAGCCTAGCACACTTTCTCGATCACTCTTGTGTTCTCACTCAAGTAGTCAGTTGGGGGATTATCGTGTAGCACATCAAGTATCAGTATCAGATTTCAGACACCTCCTGTTACAACAATTTATAATTGTTCGTTTTTATAAAATTCCACTAAAGACGAAGAATGAACCTATTTACCTATATATTGCCGATTATAAGCTATAACGATTTCTCTGAACACAAAGGCAGTGATTATTCAAATGATATGACTTAGTTTCTAGATAACACCATCATATGATCTCTTAAGGCTTGTTTGTTTTTTAGTGATTATCACTCTTAAAAAGTGGTTTTCAGGTAATATATAATACATATTCTATTTTTGCTCATATAACTACATTATGTTGTCAAACAATCCGACAGTTTTACTTAAGAATTACATCGTTGAGTATTCATATTAATCCTTTAATGAATGGATTAGTGAATATCGATGCTACAGAATAACCGGCGACTAAATTCTATGTATGTTTTTCATGTAGGAAGCATTAAGTAAACTTTTTTAAACCATATAATCACTCAAAACATAAAGTCATGGCATAAAGCTTAACGTGTACATGACTTTTGATTACTTAAACAAACTTGTCTTTGATTTATAAGTAGATATGAATAGTGACTAGCAGTGGAATTAAGAAAGAGCATTTCATCCATTTTAGAACTCTACAACCGGACGCATCTGTATCCCCGAGTTGATGTTCATTCCAGGACGTTAACCCTGTAGGACGAGACGCGTGTCCTGGATTCGACTGCCAGCCATCATTCATCTTTGTTTATAATGCTTTTAATTTAAGGGAATATCGAGACAATCCGCACAGTATGCATATATGTCAATGCGAGAGTGACCAAATGCAGTCCTAAACATCAATGGGAAGATTCAAACAATCAATATGCAAATGAATTGTTATTCAATTATCATAGACAATTAGTTTATAGTAGATTAACTACCATGTTTTGTTTTACAATGTAATTTAATTCTCTTTACTATAGCTTAATTGTTAATACACAACACAATATATTAGCTTTAAATTTTGATACTGTAAAATGGGAATATCATGAATCCGTTGAAGATAAAGCAGAAGAATTTTGGCTTAAATCAATTAAGAATAAATCAAATCAACAGAATAACAATTCATTACATTCAAAGCCTAGTTATGCTGAATCAAGATATATTAGATCATGTTTAATTAATTCAGCAGATCCAAGATTTTTTAAGCGATCAAATACGATAGGTGTAAGGCATAAATCAGGTTTGTACCAAAGAATTTTTCTTATAGAATACGCAGTATTGCTTGCGAGTGATTTTTTTTCGTTTTAATCTATCTGAGATAAATAACAAAAACAACTTGACTCTCATTGTTGAAGTGCAGGCATTATATTTAGTCAAATACTTAATATACCATGAATTACTCACACCTTTTACTCTTCATAGAGTATAGGCCACTTGCTAGGGATTCCCTAATCGACTCCGACTGTAGCCTTTCTAGGGTTATTGTCAGTCCCAAGCATTGATAAAAAAGGAGGGTTGGGTATGGGGATAAAAACCCCATCTCACCGAAAACTACCTGGCAAAAATCGCTTTAAGGTTTTGTTTTAATAAATGTACTTACTATTAATTCCTACATCATCAGATGATTTAAAAGCTAGGAGTGAAGGTCATGTGTACAACGTTCGAGAAAATATCTTATGATATTGAGTGCCAAAAGTAGTTATCACGACCTATTATGGTTGTTATCATCAATCCATATTAATTTTTTTGATCATGACTGTACACTCGAACTAACGATAAGCTTATTTAGCTACTGACGAGTTAGAATTCTACTGACCACACTTCTAATATCTGGTCAGCAGCATCTCTAGTCGTATAGATGAATGATTGTGACTTGAATTCTGAGGATTTTACTAATCGCCTTAGCATTGCAGATACTGTTTGTTGAGGAGTGCGATTAATTGTAAAACTTAAGTTCGGTTTTTTTTTTTTTTTTACTGGTTCATTCTAATCGAGTCAAAATCAATATGATTACATAGATGGAAGTAAGAATATTTTGCTTGATAGTAGGAAACTTTTATAATGTGATCGAGAAGATAATACTATGGGATCAACAGATGGAGTTGTTTTAAACACTAGAAACTAATTTCTTGGGTAACTTTTCTTCAACGTCTGACATTTAATATAATAATAAACTAAATTAAAATAGAATCCTGTCATATTATTTAAACAGTGAGTAATAATGTACAGTGTTTTTGGATATCGTATGATGCCTGTAATACATGGGAACATATCTTTCAGACTTTATCTATTGAAATGCATTCGGGCTGTTAATCAAAGAATCTGACACTGAAATCGCTAATAAATAAAGTATGAATAAGCCACACAATGTTCATTTATGTATATCTTCATGAGATCGTTTGAATGCGCTTATATAATATGATAAACTTATTTTTACTAACATTCTTCAAAATATTAGCCGGACTCAGTAGCTAAGTGGATAATACGATGGCTTTTGAAACGAACAGTACTTGGTTCAAGTCTTAGAGTGAACATCAACTTTAAGATTCAGGTACATCCAGCTGACGAGTCCTAATTAGGAAAAAAAGCACTTTCTGGATTCCACAGCTATATGTATATTCCATCTATTATAAATGACCCTGTAAAACATTCTAAGCTAACTGAATTAAATATTTCAGCTAACGGTTTAAGTTTTCATCTGTTTTACTCTCAAATTAATCTGTTAGAGATTATCTATATTAAAACTATGAATAAATCATTTTACTAGTTCATATTTTAATTCAATACTTGTTTTCCTTCTCTACATACATTTCAGCTTGTCGATCATTAAGTGAACATTCAAAGTCAAATAGAATGAATAGAATATCATCAGCATCATCGATTCAATCAAATTCTGTTAGATCCAATGATTTATTACGAAATAATAAAAAGAAATCTTATGAATTTGAATTTTTAATATCACCACCAATACCGGGGACATATGCGGTGAAGCATAGGTTTGATTTGATTTATTTCTGATTGACTTCTAGTATTAAATAAGTGTTAACACTTCATATGAATAATTTCTTGATTGGTTTGTTCAACTTAAGCTCTATATTGTTTGCATGATTTCTAGTGAATTAATTGTGTATTTTAAACAATATATTAGGGATCGACATTAATGTCATTTAGTTTTTAGGCAATATTTCTAACTGATATATCTTGTCGACGTTTTCCAAAATCTCCATCACCACTGATATGTGTTGTTGTTTTGAACGGTACTTTTTATATTTAATCGTCGTTGATTGTTGTGTTGGAAACGCTTATCATTTATGCTCGGAACAAGGGATCTCTGCAATTCCCACGACGCGAAAGTAAGAACACAAAGACTTGTATAAGTGAAGATTTGTTAACCCCAAAACACGACGACAACCAAAGTAAAAAATATACTCATTTATATATTGATTGTGCACACACTTTGATTAGTAATTAGGATGAAATCACATATATAAAAAAAATACTCAGTTATGACAAATCATATGCTGAGCATAGTTCATGTCAATTGAATACAACAATATTGTATGCTACACAGAATAAGATATCACACGATTAAGATTCTCCATCGGACTAGATTTAATGTTTTCATCACGAACTAACATCAGCTATGATATCGAAATAGGATTTAACCAAATGAGTGAATGAATTTCATGCTAAAATCCAAAACCTATCATCTTAAATCTGATTGGTTCGTCCATAAATTGTAGTTTTTCCTCTATTTTATTTTTTACTAACATTCTTTAGATATCTTTCAAAAATCTAACAATATATTTTCCATTCATTATAAACGATCCTTAATATATGTATATTCTGTAAAACATTCTGAAATACTAAAGATCTCCATTGTGAAAGTTAGAACTTGACATATAAGCGAACAATTGTTTCCAATTAGATCGTCATCAGGTTTTAGTCTAATATACAACTTAACCAACAAATGAGAGGACATCTACCACCTTGATTTATAAAGGGCCAGATGAAAACAATAAACAGTTCTATCTTGACACATCTTATTGATAGCGGTCATACTGTAGATAAATCGGAAGCATTTCGAGTGATCTGTCGTATAGTTCCATCATTTCTCAACGGAGTTCGTTTCCGTCTCCTATATATAGCTGAAGCCGTAGGAATTCGTACATACAACTCCAGTTTATGTGTACAGAAAAAATTCGTAACTCCCTTATCCCTTCCGTGGCTAGTTATTATTTAACAAATGACCCTTTATTTTATTTTGGTTATCACTAACCTTATTTGTTTGTAATTCCCGCCTCTTTCCGTTTGTATTCTTCACTATCTCATTATTTACTCATTTGGCAGTTTAAAAATCTTCATAAAATATTCAAAAATGAAGAATATTTGAGCAAACAATTGTTTTCAATAACTTCATTATCAGGCTCTACAGTTATAATTCCATAATTACGTTATTTTACTAAGGCCAAAAATAAGGCATGTATTAATGAATTTGACAATGTTATGTGTTAAAAATATTGAAACGTTTGCATTTGCTACGATATATATATATATATATATATATATATATATATATTATCAGAAGGGGTTTTGTGGAGATTGTAGTAATTTCATTGATTAAGATCATGAGTCAGTTGAAGCTAGACCACCATGGAAAACCTGGAAGCACTGGACGGCCGTTTCGTCCTATTATGGGACTCCTCAGCAAAGCGCATCCACGACCTCGCCTCCTGCGAGATTCGAACCCAGGACCTACTGGCTTCGCGCGCGAGCACTCAACCACTAGACCACTGAGCCGGCATCCAACGGTGTTAATGTCTAACTTCAACTAATCCACGAAGTTGAGCGACACATCGTGGATGCGCACTGCTGAGGAGTCCTATAATAGGATGAAACGGCCGTCCAGTGCTTCCAGGTTTTCCATGGTGGTCTAGCTTCAACTGACTCATGATCTTAATCAATGATATATATATATATATATATATATATATATATATATATATATATATATATATATATACTTCAAAATAGTATTATTTGCAAATTAGAAAGGTCATTCAATAAAGGTTAGGATGATTTGGAGTAAAGTGTCCAGTCACAATAAGTAGAATAGTATTATAGCAAAATGAAAATGCAAAACATTTTGTGAATAAAATGCATAGTAGGAGAATTTAATCTTGTCAATTGAGATAATAATAATAATAAGATTGTTGTGTGAATATAATATGTAATAAAGGGGGGGGGTGTTATCAACGTAATTACGATAAACGAATTGGGAATGATGGATGTGAAGATTAAGATAGAGGTAATCAAAAATAATAATAATAATAAGGAAGAAAATTAAAATAAAATAAAAGAAGGGGGTAAGAGGTTTATAATATTCAGTCTAGGTATTCGGTGATCCAGTCGTGGGCCAATGTAAACATAGAGGCTGGATATATTTTTTCTGGATACATAAATTTGGTTTTCTGGAGTTGATCCAGATGGCTTCGGATATGTAAAGCAGTCGTAATCTAGCTCCTTGAGGTAGATATTTTGGAACTTGATATTAGAACAGAGAAAGCTTCCTCTGTTTTGATATGATGTTCACTATCTACCAAATGAGAAAGAATAGTGCTGTTAATCGATTTGGTAATTCCTTTTCCCAACCATGCTGGTACATGTTCATTTCTTATTACATAATGTTTTGTGATGACTATTCTAATTCTATTTATCCATGTTCGACCTTCGATTTCCAATGTTTAACTAATCATATGACTTATTGTATTTTATTATTCTTACTACGATCAGTACAACTGTTTTCCTACTATCAACTTGTACTTTTATCTATTATGTGTGGTGACTTATTCTAATTCATTGTGATTATCGAGCTAAATTACCTTGATTAGTTTAACATTACCATAATAAATATTCATGTATATTACAGTAAAGCTGATGATAATGACGATCTTTATTGAAAACAATATTGTTCACTTATATGTGTTGTTCTAAATCATTCTAAGTTAATCAAATTTTAACATTTCAGTTAATGATTTTAAGTCCATTCAAGATGATTATATTTTAATTGATTATTTATATTTCTTTTGTATCTATTTCATCATTACATATATTCTTTTAATCTATCTAATAACAAGTATTATAAAACGTCCTAAATCAGCATTTGCAGTTACTAAAGAATTAAAACAAAAAGAACATGAACAATTATTATGTAATCATAATAATAATTTATTGAATCATTCAATTCAACAAAATATTTCAACTGGAGAACATCATACAAAACAAGTAAAGATAACCAATAACAACAACAACAACAATACTACTGCCACTACTACTACTACTACCACTACTACTACTACTACTACTACTACTACTACTACTACTACTACTAATAATAATAATAATAATAATAATAATAATAATAATAGTAATCTTATTGATTATTCAAAGTTATTAACCAATCAATATTTCTATCAATCATCTTATCATATAAATCAATTTAAATATTATTTATTAAAACAAATTCATTATTTAAAAAAAAATCAATTTAATAATGATAATAATAATAATAAAAGAAATTTTCAATCAATAAAAGATACATATATTGATCTTGATTTAAAATATCAAAATAATATAACAACTAATGATAATCAAATCGATTCATTCGATATATTGATCAATGATCATTTTAATGAATCATATAAAACTATGATAAAAATGCCTAGATTACGATCGAATTCAGTTCCTTCAATAAATAGAAAGTATATTTCAAACAATCAATTACTATCAGATTTTTCTAATTTTAATATACAATTAAAAAATAATTGGAAACAAGATCATAATGAACAATGTATTAATTTAAATTCTATTCAATTACCAAATGTTATTGTAAGTTTTTTTCGTTTTTTTTATTAGTTAAATATTAGGAATTACATATTAAATGTATATCAGATGAGAGTTTGGGGGGGGGGAGTTTTGTGAATATTATCGTAATTTTGATAGTTGAAATTATGAGTTAATTTTAAAGCTAGATTATTACCATAGAAAATCTGGAAGCACTATTTGACGGCCCCATTTCACCTTCTTATGGGTCTTCTCAGCAGTGCGTATCGACGATCACTCCTCACGAGATTTGAACACAGGATCTATCAGTCTTGTGCGCGAGTGCTTAAATACTAGACCACTGTACCAGATGATATTCAATAGTGTTAATGTCTAACTTTAACTAATCCATGAAATTAAGCGACATATTTGTAGTAATTAGAACACCAGTGGGGACAATCGAATGTATTCAACAGGGAATTACAGGACTTGTTAATAAAATCTAACAATCATAAAGTAAATACTTATTTTGTAAAATGTCCATCAATTGACTCAAAATGACTCAGATTTCATTGTTCTTGTATTCCATTCTGTTTCCATTCTTTACTGTTCAAACCTCTTGTCTCTCTGCTTCCAGACATTCTGTTCTTGACTAACGCCATATACTACTTATGTCGATTTAAGTAGCACATACCACACATTCACCATTATCATCAGTGAGTTACTATTTCACAACAGACCTGGTTGAACTCTACTGATCACTGTTACTCACTAGAACTCCAGGATATACCTTTTGAAGACAATCACTAGTGTCTGTGTGTTGATTAATATCAGAAGGGGTTTCCATAGTTGAAATGATGAGTCCATTGAAGGTAGACTACTATGGAAAACCTAGATCTAAGTATCAATTGACTTTTACACTTATGAATATTATGAAATCATTTGGTTAAATAATCTTTCATATTTTATTAGCAAATGCATCTCTCCTAAAAATGAAAAAATAATATTTATGTTTATTTAATAATACTAATCTTATTGGTTATAAATTACCAAATATTTCTTCCGGTTAAACTGAAGACATTGGATTCTCTATGAGTTTGTTTCGTTGGCATAAGTGTTCGAATACAACATTCGAAACAAGATATTCAAAGTTTATTTTTCCATGTAAAGAAGACTATTTAGTATCACAAATAAATACATTTTTCAGTTTACAGGTTTATGGAAATTATTGAATGTTATCGATATCAAAAACCGACCTAAGTTAGATATTCATTTGAAGCCAGTAAGACTGGATAGTGGTTTCATTCTTATATGGGATTCCTCAACAGTACGCATCTGAGACTCTCTCTCTCTCCCTTTCAATGAATACACAATATTGCACTACCATCTTTCATTGTGTTTAGTGGATTACTGCCCCTCACTAGACACATTTTAACTTTACTAATCATGGCTTCTCATTAGAACTCTAGATATAACTTTCAAAATTAGTCGCTGTTGAACACATGATAATTATCAGTATAGAGGTTTATGGAAGCTATCGAATGATAATAATATCAAACTTGTCAGTTGTGAGACAGTTTTCCACCAAACACAGTGAAAGATAGTCGTGTAATATTGTTAATTCAATAAAATTAGACATGTACACCATTTGATTCTGGGTTAGTGACTCAGAAGTTAAGCGTTGGTGCATGAGATTGAAGATTTTGGGTTCGATGTTTTGCGATAGAGTCGTTGATAGGCACTGTTGTATAATCCCGTGTAAAAATAAATCAACTATTCAATCTTCTTGATTTTAAGTGATTATCTAACTCCAGTCAGTTTGTATTATTATTAAAATTCATTTTTTAAAAAAATATCTAAAGTGTAATTAAGTAATTTGTACGAAATCTCACAATTGTATTGAAAGGGTGATCACGAAATATGAAAGGTATGCATTTTATATCATACAGAGAGTGAAATAGGTGAAAAATCTTTTTGAGATCAAATTCTCGTTCTATGATGAATGACGTTTACGCCGAAGTAAAAATACAGACGTATAGTCTTTTCAAATAACATTCAGTTAATGGTCACCCAACCGACTGGTCAGTCAGTCAGCTACAACGTAGGAACAGGCACATATATGCATCGGTTCAAGTTGTCACACTTCATTAGTACAACAAGATCAACATTAGATTCATAGAAGTAGTCGCTTCAATTGTAGTAATACATATAAAAAAATTGCATATAACGATACTGTACAGCGAGAAAGAATTAGCTTTTAGAAAGAAAGTTATAAAGCAATTTTAATCTCATGGTTTAAGGGAAGAAAAAGAGTGCATACACTTACGCCATTGTGATCAATCCTGAGCCATGTCACCCAGAGCCTCCAACCATTGGTTACGGTAGTCACGTGGACCCCAATCAAATAATATGCATCTAACAACACTGTTCAGATCAGAAGTTAGTGACTTTGTGGTCTGAGGCCACATTTTGGTTTGGCCGCCGCTAACATTCTTCCAATCATCCCCAACACCGGTTAGCATTGCACGTCGTGGTAATCAGTGTTCAGGCATATATAACACATGGAGCAATGGACTGGAGACATTGTTTGTCCCTGCAACTTAAAAAATAAAATTGTGTGATGTGGATTTTGTTGGATTTATCAGAATATTATTGTCAAGTTTCTTTTAAACTTGTTATTTTCAAGCTTGGTTTCACTTGAGTTATTCTGATTGAGGATCTTAAATATACTGAAAAATGATAAGAATTTTATAGTTTGCGCAAACTTAGTGGCTTTAAATAACATGAATATACTTATTTTAATTGAGATCATGGACCGATTGATGTTAGACCACCATTGAAAACCTGGAAGCACTGAACGGCTGGTTCGTCCTATTGTGGGACTCCTCAGCAGTGCATATCCACGATTCCGCTCACGGGATTCGAACCCAGGGCCTTCAGTCTCGCGAGCGGAATTGTGGATGCGCACTGCCGAGGAGTCCCACAATAGGACGTACCAGCCGTTCAGTGCTTTCAGGTTTTCTTTGGTGGTCTAGCTTCAATTGACTCATGATCTCAATCAAAATCTTAACAAACTCTGCAACCCCTAGACTGATATACTTATTTGTTAGAAAGAGGAATAAAACCGAAAATATAAATCCTGGTTAGATATTCATCGGAAAATGGGTTAGTATAATTTTGAAGAGCATTTATCGACCAGTTGTTACACGCTATTTTCACATAGTTTCAACTGCAAGTTATATATTACGTCATCGACTGTTGTCATATTTCTAGTCATCATTTACCTATAAATACGTTACTCGACCTTATATTAAATAGTCCTTTTTGAATGGAAAAGCTTGAAACAAACTACCAAGTGATGTATTGATTTCTTTTCAACTTCAGTCACTGAAACGTTTGTAAATGTAATTTATTCTTTCATATGTAAAATTGTTTGCTTATTGTTCCCTTTTTCTATTTTTCTAACTAAAAGGTAAATTATGAAACGATTAATTTAAAGAAGAAATAATCTATGGAAGAGAATCTTTCCTGGAAGTAAAGTGAGGAACAATTAAATAAAAGCAAGACTGTTACAGGAATACAATAGTTTCGATGTATTTGAACGAATAATCCATAAAAAAACTTAATTACAGTTTAGTAACTGATTATAAGAAATTTTTCTCTTTTATCTTTTTATTTACTTACATCTGTTACTTCCGATAGAGCATAGGCGGCCATCGATCAGATTTATTTGCCTATCTTAAGTTTACCTCCTATTAGTTTTAATATGACACATTTTACATGGTATGTACTCCGAATGGAATGTATATTTTTAGGATAATAAAATGAAAATGAATAGAAAAAAAACGTAAATAGATTACTCCCATCTTTTATTTTTAATGATAATTTATAGAATATCTGAAATGAATATATTGTTTTTGTTAAGTTGTACAAATGAATTGTTGGTTAACGTTTTTTTAGCGAGTTATTTTTCTACGGGGTGGGGTCACTAACCCCATGCCCAACCCTCCTCTTTTATCCGGGTTTGGGACCGGCAGTAGCCCCAGCGGGGCTCCAGGTGGAATTACAAATAAATTGTTACTATGGTTTAATTAATGACTATTAGTCCAGTTACAAAAATATATCTCCATTCAAAGTTAACAATTACTCAATTTCATTAAAAGTGATTTTTTTTATATTTTTTAAAAATCTTTATGTTGAATTTCACTATATGATCAGTGTAATCGTTGACTTTATTTATGGAAATTTGTCTAATTTATTTAAATGAATGTCAGCTGTGACGTTTTATGCTCATCAGATAATTTTAAGAAGTGACTTGAATTATTTTGTGTGAACCGTTGAATTCAAAAATCAAAGTGGTCTAAACTGTCATACTAGATGTGCGACTTTTAGCTGACCAATTTCATGTTAATTTATGCATTTATCAACGAGAGGCCGATTGTTTTGTTACAGATCTTATACTACTTTAAAGTAGCTTATATGTATATGCATAAATATAATGGAACGTAGTAGTAGGTAGCTTAATTGTTTTGCGGGTTTTAAGAGATTCACTAGGATATTTAAAGATTTTTGTGTACCTAAATGGTTCTGCTAACAGTTCTTTTTAGGATATGCTCCTCATATTTTTTGTATTTTTCTTAAACCGAATCATTCCACTACTACTGATATTGCTTCTATAACTACTCTGTTAATTTCTTCGATAATCTTATCTCGCTGTGTTATTGTTATGTGGGGAGTTGAATCAACGATCATGTGCGCCAGGTTATGTGTTGCTTATTACTGAATAACTGGGCGACTGCTAACACGTATATTTTTATTCTAACTGATTATATACGAACATGGTTTATCCGTGTTTTTCTTCAGAATTAAGCAAATAATTCCACATAATCTTGGCACTAAATATGTAAAAGGCATTTCATAGGAATGATTCTCTATAAATTTTCATCAATTAAAGCAAAGTGATCTAAACATTAACCAGAACGTCATGGAATAATCAAAGTGGAATAATGGCTTTTCCTGTCGAATATAGTCTAAATCATGAAAGTATGAGAAGGAAACAGACAAAGTGCGTATCAGTAAATCACTATTTTTTTATCATTTCCAATATTTATGACTTGAGTCACAACAGATTATATATATATATATATATATATATATATATATATATATATATATCGAGTGGTTGAAGTTAGTCAGCAGGAAGTCATAGATCCAGATTTCATGTTAACTGCTACTCGAGAGCAAGATGTTCCTACAAACATCAGGGAACTAGCATTTCCTTTGGGATTCGAACACACATAGACCAGCTTCGGCTTATGAGATTGTAGTTCTAAGCTACCCGGTCTGCTGCTGACTTATTTTGGAGTCAAGATGTTCGCCGATGATTGATCAATGAGTAGTGGCCAGTATCATGTTTGTCTAATTTTTAATGTATATCGAATCCTACTGAATTTTCAATGTGGCAAGTAGTCCAAGTTACTCGATAACGTCTACAGTTTGTCGAAATTTTAGGTTGTTGAAAGAAGTACCTATTCGAATTCAACTAAGAACGTCGGTCTCATCAATATTGTGGGTGTTTCTTACTGACAAATGCCATGTATCCTAAATCTCTTTCCAGCTACCTTCAACCACCTAACATCTTGAAGATGCCACAGGTATTCGGAGTTTGACAACGCTTTAACCAGTAACACCTAATATGAAGCGTACCCACCGAGTGAAATCAAAAGACAGAAACGAGGATGTTTGAAGATATATTGGATAAGCTATCAATATATCGAGGATCGTTTGAACTAATCTGGCCAGCGACTTCAGTAGATGTTGAGCACGGCGTTCCCACACGTGATCTGGTGCGGATGAATGGCTGAACGCCTTCAGCTAGATGAGTCCATTAAAACTGTGGTCAGTATCCAATATCAAAAACTTAAAGAGTTATTTATTTTGGGGATTTATTTACCGCTACAATCTCAACACGGTGTATTCAAGTTTGAGTCCTTAATACTACTAATACACTGCAAATTCATCAACAGAATTCAATCAGTAATAAGGATTAGATAAATGTTAGAAATAAATCAATCGTTCTCAAATTGAACAAAATCTACAAAATGTCTAGAAGATAATGATCAGAGACCACAGAGAGACCATGCTAAAATTTACTAATCCAATGGGATCTAACTTGATTAATTAGTAACTAGACTATTTAGAATTAATGGAAAAAAAGGTTGTCAGAATATTTCACTTCAAAGTTTGACTTGATTCGTGAGAGAATTAAAATCAAATTTTAATTTAATCTCAGTCATCATTCTTGTATTATTAGGAAGCAAAGTTAATTGATTTATGGTTTATAAGTATACACAGGTAGGTAAATGAAATTTTCAATTATTTAGTTGTCTACTATTGTGGTGTGGGTTACTTATATCCACATAAGTAGTATATAACGATGGTCAGGCATAGAATATATTTCAGTAGAAGATCGATAAGGAAAGAATGGGAACGGAATACAATTGTTATGAAAATGCATGAACAATGAAATCTGATACAATGAACTGATATTTGCAAAAGGAACAGTCAAACTTGAGATGATGGATTGATATTATGCAAAATAACTATTTACTATACGGTTCTCAGATTTTGGTGAGATGTTCTGTAATTTCATGTAAAATACATTCGATTGTTCCCACTCGTGTTTTGGTTCACTACTCTGTCGCTGTAGTTCCGTTGACCAGCCGTTTTTAGAATATGCCAAGAAGTCAACAGACCAATAGTATTAATCATTGATCATTTAAGTAACACAATTATGTTAATATCGTTTTACATCTTTAAATTAAATTGAAATCATTCATTGAAATTTTAATTTAGATATAGGGTTTATAATCATGAATTTGTATTTGATATATGACTCTTGAAAGTCAGATAGCAGTAAAGAACTGTTCACGGTGAGACTATAATTTATGGACGAACTTTTGAGCGACGCTAAAGTGATCTTGAGAGTATTTATCTAATAACTAGGACCAAATGAGGGTTATAAACCAAAGTGAGGAATTAAAATTATGATTTACAGTTGATGGGTGAATTTCACGCCAAAATCTGAGACCTGTTATTTTATATTTAATTGGTCTGTCCATAAATTATAGTCTCGCCGACATCTCTTAACCAGATCAAAGTTGAGAAAGTAACTTACTGTTAACTTCACTTAAGGAACCGGTTAATTGAAGTTGAAAATACCGACCAATAAATTGTTACTCATTTATTAACGACATAGTGCTTGTGGTTTCACTTGATGGTTCTAAGATTGATTTCATGTAGTTAGGTGGATAAGTATTGTCAAGGTGTTTTATTCTACAATAAAACAACTATCTAACGGTTTATTGTTTCTATTAGTTTGTGCTGATAACTATTTCCTACAGTTCTAATTATTGATTATTGCCAATTATAATATAATTAAAATCTTTAATAGCTTATGTGAACTCATTAAAACAACTGTTCAATGATTGATTGTTTTAATAAAATGGAACTTTATAGATACTGATTAACATACTGATAAACAATCTTAAGTAGTTGAAACTCACTTAATCTATTGACATGAGGTAGAAACAAAGCACAAAGCTTTCATTCACCGTAACACTTAATTGCTATTGAGTAATTTACATCTCTAATGACATATCTAATTAGCAACAGTAAAAAAATGTTGGTCGTTTTATCGATAGCAAAATTTGGCTAAAAATATATATCAGACTCAAGTAGTTTGTTTCTTTGATGTATAGTGTTAAAAATGTAGTAAGTTAAAATATCTCAAATTCTATTTATTATAATTTGTGGGTTTTCGCCTTTAACAATGTATAAGGTAATGATAGCGTAAATTAGAGAAAAGTGATTTATCGACTAGAACAATGACGCATAAGCCCGTCTGAAGTCTTTATCGGTCCTGCTTCCTGTCTAGCTCTGCCTGTTAAGTCTAGAACACCGATATCAGCCTCTGTGATATGAACCATGTATTTCAAGCATACTGGGTTTATATACAAACCAAACAGACCACATCACACCATAAAAGAGAAGCTAACATTTGTACAAGATCTAACCAAAAGTGGCGGTGAGTGCGGGAGACTGTAATTAATAGACTGAACATAACTCAGGAACGATAAATCCTCTGATAACATTCTGTGGGTCAAAATAAAGCTTGTTATAAGAGGAATATGAATATGAATAGTTTATTTACCTGACAATTATATAAGAGAAATATATTGATAGTATTAGTCCAGAAATAGACCCCGACAGTTACCATTCATTATTCTTTTCGGAATATAACATGATTAACATGAAAGTAGCATAAGGTCATTTGTCTTTTTCTTTGTTTATTTGTCACATTCTGCTTCAATAAAAAAAATACATGATGTCGTATTCTTCATTTTATGACATCCAATCATTTGATTAAACAGTAAGTAGGAGTTAATAAGTAATTGTAGGACTACATGAAGCATGTCAAGAAGGTGAACTTACAATCTCAAAAGAACTGATGTTTAAAATTATGTTATTTAGCTTTAAATTTACTAGTGAGCTGTTCAGGTTGTAGATAACATCTTATAAGATTGAAATATTTAATAATTTAATTGGTAATTGAATAGTAACTAATATCATCATCTCAGAACCAATTAGACGATTTGGACTTTGCAGATGATTTAGCCTTCCTATCGCATACACACGAACAAATTCAGATAAAGACAGTCAGTGTAGCAGCAGTCTCTGCATCAATAGGCTTCAACATATACAAGGGAAAAACCAAGGTCCTCAAATACAACATGGAAAACAGCAATTCAATCACTCTTGATGGAAATCACCAAACAGCATCACGAGGCAAGCCCTCACTTGGAATCCTGAAGGGAAGCGGAAAAGAGGAAGGCCAAAGAACACATTATGTCGAGAAATAGAAGTAGATATGCAAATGATGAATAAGAAATGGAAAGAGCTGGAAAGGATTGTCCAGGACCGGGTTGGATGGAGAATGCTAGTGAGTGGTCTATGCTCCTCCATAAGGAGTAATAGTCGTAAATAAGTAACTAATATTATGTATTGATAGAAACCTATCACTCATTTAGAAAGTTGAATTGGTAATAATTGTCGAACCAGTGAAAAGTAAGCAGTTCATTTTTGTTTATTTCTGTATTCATTAACTTGTCAACTAGTTTGTACATGGTTGATAGGTTCTTGAGACATAACAAATTGAAACTAGATGGAATTTTTTTCGCTGATAACAATCTATAAGTCGTATTTGTTTTCAAAGTCTTATTATTTAGTTTTTGATTGACATTATGAACTGACTGATGTTAGACCACCCTTGAAAACCTTGAAGCACTGGACGGCCGTTTCGTCCTATTGTGGGACTCCTCAGTCGTGTTTATCCACGATTCTGCTCGCGGGATTCGAACCCAGGGTCGTCAGTTTCACCTAATTTAATCTATTCATAACTTATT